ATATCCCCCTCTTTCTTAGAGGTGTGTAGTGGTAGTTTCTGTTGGTTTGTAATTGTTTTTTTTATTATTTGTTGTTGGGCGTGCCTGGGGTATGCCCCTTGTAAACTTGTAAATTTCATTGTCTTTATTTTATGACTTACTTACCCAAAAAAATAAAATAAAAATTTGTTTGGTTATGAATTTTGAAAATATTTTTGAGTTTTTGAATTTTAAATTTTGAAAAGAATTTTGAGTTTTGAAAAGAGTTTTAAGTTGTACTTTGAGTTTTAAGTTTTTGAATTTTGAGTTGTATTTTGAAATTTTTCGGATTTATTTCTTTTAAATATTTAAAAACGTTTAAGAAAATTTTATTTTTTATTTTAAATATTTTATTTCATTTTTGTAAACATTTTAAATTCAGAACATAACTCCACACTTAAATCAGAAGCAAACACATAACTTAAAACTCAATTCAAAAACTATTTTTAAAACTCATAACCAAACACATAATTCAAAATTCAATTAAAAAACTTTTTAATCAAAATATTGTTTTTATTTTTTATTTTTTTTGAAAAATAATTTTTGTTATTTTTTTAAGTATTGGCCAAATAATTTGTTATGGTTTAGATATATATGGCGATCCAATTTTTTTTGAAATTAAAAAAAATTAAATATTTAAAAAAAGTTAAAAAATATTAAAAACATTAAAATATTAAAAAAATATTTTTTAAATAAAATAAATTATTTGAAATAAAAAAATAAAAATTATATATTTAAAAAAATAATTTTTTTAAAATTTTTAAATATTTAAAAAAATACAGTGCACAATTATATGAAATATAGTGCACATTAAAAACATACAACTCAAAACTCTTTTCAAAATTCATAACCAAACAAATTTTTCTCTTTTCAAAACTCAACTCAAAATTCATAATTGAAAAAACAACTCTACACTCAAATCATGATTTTAAAAAATAAAATAAAAAAAATATCTTTTAAAATTTTTCTTTAAATAAAATTTTGAAAAGAGTTTGGTTGTGAGTTTTGAAAAGAATTTTGAATTAAATTGTGATTTGTATGTTTGGTTACACATTTGGAAAAGAATTTTGAATTTTTTTTTATTCGGTAGTGTTATATGTACCAATTAGTGTACTAACTAGTATACCAACACTAGTTATGATATTATTATTGACCCTCCACTCATTTGAGATGACGATGAACAGTGAAAACGGGGTCAGAGAAATTTGTGAGGAAGGAATGGGAATGATTTTTGCAGAAGATAACGAATCTCTAATGTCGATGGTGGAGACGATATTGAAACCCTAGTTCTGCAGTTCTCTTGTTCGTGAAGATGGTTGGATACTTGGAATGGAACTCAGTCGTCGGAATCAGTTTCGTCTTTGTGTTGATTTTGTGAAGGGTATTTTGGTCCACGAAATAATTAAAAATGCGCGCCATGTTGTTCAGGGACCTTATGCATGACTATTTTTTTTTTTTTTTGTCTTTTATCTTCTAAATTACTATTATTAGGGACCTTAAAAAAAATTCTCCAAGTTTTCTCCTACCAATATATATCTATATATATATTAATTAGAAAAGTAATTTTATTATTTAAAAATTTAAAAAAAAAAAAAAAAAAAAAAAACAACAACAACAAACAGAAATCAACTTTCTGGGTTCACTTTCACTAGTTCGTGGGAGAGTTTGAGAGAGAGAGAAAGAGAGAGAGAGAGAAGGGACCAGGGTAAGAGAAGGGACAGAGCTTTGATTTTGAGTTAAGACTCTACTTCATTTTAGAAATCTTTTTTATTCAAGTGGATAGTGAGTGGTTCTTGTTCATGATCTATACACTAGTGCTTCACAAATCAGCCATTGATGATGATGATAAAATAGTGTATATATATATTATTTTATAAATAAAATAGTATCTTAGTATAAAAGATATATACCCCATTATTTTCTCATCTTTTATTCTCTGTTATTTTTCTAGAAAAAAATTTATTCATTTTATTAGAAATTGTTTATATGATATTTAAATTTTTTTTATGTGTTTTTTTATGTGTATATATATATAATTTATATATCATACTATACATATATGTGTATTTGTCTATACGGTAAAAATATATTTTTTAACTTTTAACCCCTGTAGTAATAAAATTTTAATTTCATCTCTGTATGAGAGAGAGAGAGAGAGAGAGAGAGAAGGTGTGAGTATGTGCAACGTGTATTAGTGAGTGTAAGAGTTAAGGGTAAAATCCGTTTAGTTTAATTTTATAATTACGATTTAAATGTGAAATTGTGATTTTAAGTGTGGAGTTATGAGTTGAGTTTTGAAAAAATAAAAATTTGTTTGGTTATGAGCTTTGAAAATATTTTTGAGTTTTTGAATTTTAAATTTTGAAAAGAATTTTGAGTTTTGAAAAGAGTTTTAAGTTGTATTTTGAGTTTTAAGTTTTTGAATTTTGAGTTGTATTTTAAAATTTTTCGGATTTATTTCTTTTAAATATTTAAAAACGTTTAAGAAAACTTTATTTTTTATTTTAAATATTTATTTCATTTTTGTAAATATTTTAAATTCAGAACATAACTCCACACTCAAATTAGAAGCAAACACATAATTCAAAAACTATTTTTAAAACTCATAACCAAACACATAGTTCAAAATTCAATTAAAAAACTTTTTAATCAAAATATTGTTTTTATTTTTTTATTTCTTTTGAAAAATAATTTTTGTTATTTTTTTAAGTATTGGCCAAATAATTTGTTATGGTTTAGATATATATGGCGATCCAATTTTTTTTTGAAATTAAAAAAAAAAACTCATAACCAAATACATAATTCAAAATTCAATTAAAAAACTTTTTAATCAAAATATTGTTTTTATTTTTTTATTTTTTTTGAAAAATAAGTTTTGTTATTTTTTTAAGTATTGGCCAAATAATTTGTTATGGTTTAGATATATATGGCGATCCAATTTTTTTTTGAAATTAAAAAAAAATTAAATATTTTAAAAAAGTTTAAAAATATTAAAAAAATATTTTTAAAATAAAATAAAATATTTGAAATAAAAAAATAAAAATTATATATTTTAAAAAATAATTTTTAAATTTTTTTTAAATATTTAAAAAAATACAGTGCACAATTGTATGAAATACAGTGTACATTAAAAACATACAACTCAAAACTCTTTTCAAAATTCATAACCAAATAAATTTTTCTCTTTTCAAAACTCAACTCAAAATTCATAACTGAAAATACAACTTTACACTCAAATCATGATTTTAAAAAATAAAATAAAAAAATATTTTTTAAAATGTTTCTTTAAATAAACTTTTGAAAAGAGTTTGGTTGTGAGTTTTTGAAAAGAATTTTGAATTAAATTTTGATTTGTATGTTTGGTTACACATTGGAAAAGAATTTCGATTTTTTTTTTATTCGGTAGTGTTACGTGTACCAATTAGTGTACTAACTAGTATACCAACACTAATTATGATATTATTATTGACCCCCTACTCATTAATAACATTACAAATATTAAAAATATCTTAAATTATGTCACATCATCAATTAGTACATTAATTAATACATATAATATTATTCTTATTTATTAGAATCACAATTCCAAAAGTAAACCACATGCAACCGAAATCAATACACAAAATGTCATTTTCTTGTATAAATTTTGTACTCTTTACTGTTGTTAAAAAAAAATCAGTGACTATTAATAACTTTTCTCAAAGTCCACGATTAAGTAATTCTCCCTTATTTTATTGGATTGTAGTCAGCATTGTTGCCAGTGAGTACGAACATGTGGGAGGCGCCTAATTGTCTATCAGGTTCCAACGGTTCAAAATAAACCTAACCAAAACGATGTCGTTTTGGTTAGTAATTTCATCGTTTTGGTTAGTAATTTCGAAAAAAAAAAAAACAACAACAACAACAACAAATAGAAATCAACTTTCTGGGTTTGCTTTCACTAGTTCGTAGGAGAGTTGGAGAGAGAGAGAAAGGACAAAGCTTTGATTTTGAGTTGAGACTCTACTTCATTTTAGAAATCTTTTGATTCAAGTGGATAGTGAGTGGTTCTTGTTCTTGATCTATACACTAGTGCTTCACAAATCAGCCCTTGATGATAATAATGAACATCCCTTGTTCAAGTCAGCCATGGAAGACCTTCTGTCACCGATTTCCTCCGCCGATCTCCATGTCCGTTGATCGGATCTGCTGATTTTGTTGCTCACTTTGATGATGATGATGATGATGATACAGATCTGAATCAATCTTTGGTGCTCGCACTATGGGATCTGTAAATATACATATATGCATATAGAAACACATATCTAAATCAATCTTTTGATGATGATGATGATAAAGATCTGAATCAATTTTATTATCGAATCGATTTAATCTTCTTCGCAGGGTCTGTAAATATATATATATAGATATATATATGCATATAGAAATACATATCTAGATCAATCTTTTGATGATGATGATGGTGATGATACAAATCTGAATCAATCTTATTATCAACGAATCAATTTAATCTTTTAAAGCCTCTTTCTCATTTTTTTCACGGGTTTTCTTCAATCTTTTGATGATGATGATACATATCTGAATCAATTTTATTATTGAATCGATTTAATCTTTTTTTTTATTTATTTAGATTTCACAAATCAAAATCCATGATAATGATACAGTTTGAAGGCTCTTTCTCATTCTGTTCATATTTCTTCTTCAATCTTTTGATGATGATAATGATGATACAGATTTGAAACAATCTTATTATCGAATCGATTTAATCTTCTTTTTTTATTTATTTAAATCTCACATATCAAAATCCATGATGATGATACAATTTGAAGCTTCTTTCTCATTCTATTCATATTTTTTCTTTTTTCTTCATTATTTTTTTTTTATTTTCAAAACGAATTAATTACAACCCTTCATTCTATTAATGGGACACATGTCCGATCCATCTCATTCATTCTAGGGGATCTCTCTAACCCTAACGCCCTAATTGTTATCGTTTTGTATCCTCCCAACAACGGCTATATTCACCACCGCCCCCGCCCAACGGTACATTTCTCTCACAAAATTGATTCAAGTGTTCCCGTTACATCTTTCTATCCTCCTCTCTCCTCATTACGATTAAGCTCTCACATCCGCTTTCTGCCTATCGCTCTCTGAAAAGTTTTGGTTAGGGTTTCTCTCTCTCTAGAATGGACAGTGGGAGTGAAGGGCTTCATCAGATGAACTGCTAAGGAAATTTGCGGAAGGGGGTTCGGGATCCAAAGACAAGGCCACCGCGAAGAAAGAGCTTTCGCAGTTGGCAAAACGACGCCGCTACCACCGGAAAAAAATCACCGGAGAAAATGACGATGTGAGAGCCCCTCCACCTCCTCCTTAAGCCGCCGGGCCACCAGTTTGGTTGAGAGGAAATCGTTTCTTCCTGCTGTGGCGGCATCCACCCCACCCGGATGTCGTCTGCGCTGATTCGGCGGCTGGGGATTGGGAGGTCAAGAACATGTCCATTTTCGCCACAATTGACAAGGTTAGTAATTTTACATACATCATACGTGCTATGTATTTACATATATACATATTAATTGTGCCAAATTTAGTTGTTTGAATTCTCAACTTATATCTGTAGAATTTGATTCTCTTTGTGTTATATATTCATTTTTGTGTTCAATTTGGCTTCTAAATTAGACTATTCCAAGGATGAGAATGTTCGAGATGGGTTAGTCAGAGGAATGTGGATTCTTAAGTTTTTGCCCTGGAAATTGAATACACGTCCCGAGAGTGCCCTGGAAATTTTTTATTCTTCTGATAAAAATAATATTAACTTCCATCTAAAGAAGATTGATTCTGATGCCATTGTTATTGTTGTTTTGAAAGGTATTAGTATAACTTAATTTCATAAGGCAATTACGTCAAATTTGAAACTTATCGCATAAATAGATGCATGTATGTATGTGTGACAACATAATGTGATTGATCAAAATAATAATAAAAAATAAAAAATAAAAAAAACCCCACAAATTAATTAATTTGAAGTTCATTTTATTTTAATATTTGAAACACGGGAAATGGGCTATACTGCAGGAAATGGGCTATACGCGGGAAATGGACTATTTAATCTTGGATTAGAAAACTTAGGCTGTCATTGATTTACTAGTACTGGAGGGCCAGCATCAATCATTATATTCTCCTATGTGTTGGAGGGCTAACAAGAATTTGAATCAAATGGAAATTGATTGGATGGGATTTTGGTGTGCTGAGAAGTTGATGTACAAATGCCTAGGACTAGCTCCAACCTCAAAATCACAATTGAAGAAATAATACCTATTGGGAGCAAATATCAATCATTTTATTCCTCATTTGTGTCTGCTTAGCAAAATCATAGAAGAAATAATAATACATATTGGGAGCAACTAGAATGGAAAGAACCCTCCTTGTGTGACTGCTTAGCAAATTGGGAGCAACTGTGAGTAAGTTTTCAAATCGGGAGTCCCGTGCCCGTTCGTTAAGTTTTCACAACTCAAATTGGTCCTTCTTGAGACGTTCGAGGTGTTCATCGGGCCTTCTCGTGATTGTTACACGATTTCGGCCCACCGAGGCCTATTTTCAACCTTAAGTGCGAAAAAAGTACCTTTTCCGACCTAGTTTCCAAACCGGAAGTCCCGCGCTAGTTCCGTCAGTTTCCCCAACTTACATTGGTTTCTCCGGAGGTGTTGGAGGTGTTCCACGGGCCTTCTCGGGGCTGTTATAGGATTTTTTGGCCACCGATGAAATTGCTGCAAGTAATGCCTCCTTATGGCTGTGTGTAAAATTTTGAATTTTTATACCATTTATTGTTCTAACGATGAGGGAAGTATCACAATCATGTATAGCTGGAAGATGGTTGGAATCTGTGTCCAATATGCATTTAGAGGATATAGAAAACTGAGGTTAATGAATGATCTGATTGAGATTTGTAATCTTGGTATCTGAGTTCACTGCTGGAATTGGCCTACCACTTTTTGACATTAACTTAAATAAAACATTTATATGTACAACATTTATCATCACTTGTTTGTGTAGAGACACCGTCTCATAACATGACACCCAGATTTTTGAACAGTGCATAAAGAAGAAAAACTGCACCTTAAGTGGTCTGATTAGATAGGGATTTTACAAAAAGAGGCTGTTGTTTGTCCTCGTGGCCCATGCTCGATGCCGTTCCTATACAACATTTCTTTTTGAAAATATTGTTTTTGGTAATTTAATTTAAGACTCCCTCTCCTATTAAGCTCATAGAGGGAGAGGACTTGATTACTTGAGCTTCTCATCTGTAGAGGCTCTTGATACTACCAGGTCACAAGGTCACTGGTAAATTCTGATTGTTTCCTTGTATAATATTTTGATACATGGAAGCTGTTATTTATCAATTTATATTCCCTTTCCTCATTGCTTGTCTCCTGATTTTTCAGCTTGTTCATCCGGCCTACCAATCCATGTTAGGACACATAAGGTCGGGAACTCTGGATAGATTCAAAGACGCATTTCATAAAGCTTTAAATAGAGGGGATGAGTTTTCTGTAGCTGCTTATGATTGCACTGAGTCTTTCACGTCTCTATTTGATGAAGGATGTGCAGGTATGGTTACTGATTTCACTATGTCATTTACAACTGTGAAATAAAAGGGTTTTGATTTACCAGTTTTAGATTTGTTTATTATCTGATTTGGTTTTTGTTTCAATAATTACTCATTTTATACCAATAATTCCACTCCTTTATTTATGTCAATTCTATTTTATTTTACAAATGCTATTGCTGCGATATGGGGGAAAAAAAGTGTTATAAAATAACATACTTTGTTGGAAGGGAATGTAATTTATGTTTAACACAATATTAGGGTTTAGGTTTCTGTGTACAAACTTTGTCAGCCTGAAAGGCTTCTTGTTCTTATTTGATTTTCATCAATATGGTTCATAATTACATAATTTTATGGCTCTTTAATCTCCACTATCCTTAATTACCATTATCAGTAATAGGGGTACTGCTATTTTAATTCAGATTGGTGATAAGATAATAGAAGTCCCTGGTTAATTTAAATATATAGGGGATTGCCAGTGAAGCATTTATATCATACTCATCCTCGGCACCAGTTTTTTAGCACAGTTTATGATGCATGTGTTAAAGTAGAAATATTTTTGTTTGTTTAGACAGGTACAAAAAGATTATTTACCTTATGATTGCTTTTGAAAGTGAACTTATGCTTCAACATATTCTATGAAACTATAGTTTGCATTGCTTTCATTTTAACTGCATGCAAGTTTCACTTACGAGAATTTTCAAAGCATTTTTCTTATTGATGGTTTGTGAGAAGTTTTGGGTGTGTTTGGTTTGTGTTTTGTGATAAATTTTCAAAAAAAATTTGGGGAGAGAGTTTAGAATTTTTTTTGGCTTGTTTGGTTGTGTATTTTGAAAATAGTTATAGAGTTTGGGATGATTTGATATTTTGTTGTAGTTGAGTAGATGTGTGTGAGAGAAAAAAGTGATTAAGGAGAGAGGAGAGAGAAAAAGTGATTGATTGATGTGTAGGAGAGAGTGACAAACAAAATTTTGAAATTTTTTCTCAAAAATTGTATCTTGAGATACAAACCAAACAAGCCCTTTACGATTTGTTGAATTCTCAACTTGTATCTGTAGAATTTGTGTGAAAAGTAATTTTTTCTTTCTTTGTGTCTGAAGGCAGTTTGCAAATATCTTTTATCTATGTCTTGGCTGTTTAATTATCAGTGTTAAGTATTTAAGAGCTTGTTTAGTACATGATGTACATCGAGTTTTGTTCTTTTATTTTTTTAGCAAGAGAAAAAAAGCTTGAGATATATATTGCATGAGAAGAACAACATGCTTTGTCCTCTTTTTGATGACGAAGTCTATTTATTTCATCCATGAAAGCCATTGACTTCCATTCTTAAATGAATGATCAAGTTATGTTGGCTTTTATTAGTGGGAGCTTTCAGAGGCCAACTGTTAATGGTGAACTATGGAAGCATATGTGCCTTTGTTACTGATTTGTCTGATGTAACTTATGCTGTATTTCCATTTGCATATGAAGTTGGCAACTAAGATGTAGTGACTTGTGACTCCTCATCCTTGTGTTGTTTCGTAAATAATCCCACATTTGGCATTGCAAAAGTTGCTCAGAATAGCTAATCCCACGTGACCCCTTTACCACCTACATATGAGGGATAACTCTTTTGCATGTGAATGACTAAAATGCCTTTGCCTGGCTTACACATTCGGGGGTATTTATTTGCCTAATCCAAACCGAAATCAAACATAGCCGGTGTAAAGTGGTGACTGTGCTCCTTTTTTTGGCACCTTTCTAATATATTTACTTGTCAAAAAAAAAAAGGGAAGAAGAAAGAGGAAGAAAGAAATGGGCTGGAGTCTGCAGTGATTTATTTTGGGTGATGCATCTAGGAGCACAACAGGAGAATCTTTAATGGAGGTGTAGTTTTTATTTTGGAGTCGAAACATTTGATATTGAGCCCTTTTTGGGATTACTATTAGGAATCTCTCTCTCTCTCTCTCTCTCTCTCTCTCTCGATAAATACTATTAGGAATCTCTTTCTTTTGTTTCTTGATTGATTTGCCGAAAGAATTTAGCTTATGGGTTGATGTATAGTTTGACCTTTTTCCCTCTTATGTAATTTTTGCGCGGGATTTCTCCTTATGTCTCGTTCTAGATTTTATCTACAAGGAAGAGGAAAATTCTCCTTCATTATTCCCCCTTGAGATACAACATGAACAAAATAAAATTGGTTGTCTTAAGGCTGGTCATGTTGAATTCTCAGACTATTTAATCTTGGATTAGAAAACTAAGGTTGTCATTGATTTAGTAGTACTGGAGGGCCAACACCAATCATTATATTGGCTAACAAGAATTTGAATCAAATGGAAATTGATTGGATGGGATTTTGGTGTGCTGAGAAGTTGATGTACAAATGCCTAGGAGGACTAGCTCCAACCTACAAATCACAATTGAAGAAACAATACCTATTGGGAGCAAATATCAATCATTTTATTCCTCCTTTGTGTCTGCTTAGCAAAATCATAGAAGAAATAATAATACATATTGGGAGCAACTAGAATGGAAAGAACCCTCCTTGTGTGACTTGACTACTTAGCAAAATCATAGAAGAAAAAATACATATGAAAGCAAGTCAAATCCAAACAAAGTATAAAGAAAAATCTTAGCCACAACATATCCAATTTTTTATAGGATAACTTTTGACTTGAAGGATAGCTAAATTGAAAGAAAAAATCTTTCATTGTATGAAAATTGTGAGTTTTCAATCAACTTTGTTTCCATTTGTTAAAAAACTGAGATCTCAAGTGGAAGCAGACACCCAATCTCTAGGGATTTTCATGGCTCGAGCAGTGGCCAACGATTTTGCAAAGTCTAAGGTGGTTTTAAATTGGATTTTGGATGGGATTGGTCTTCAAGTCATGTCATTTATAAATACTCGTTCCATCCCCAACTGTTTGTCAATTGTCAGCATTCATGCCTTTTAGTAGGGTCAATAAATAATGTATTTTTTACCCTACAAATTGAAAGAAAGAATAAATAAAAAAACATAGATTATTTTTTTGGGATGTTTGGAATAGTTAAAATGGACCAGCAATTTCGTACGGGAGGAGAATTAAACTAGTTGTAACCAAAATAAATTTGTCAAATAAGAGAATCATCCATATTCGCTTGCACTATCAATTGATTAATATGCGTTTTACATCACTTTAATACATTTCAAGTTTGTTTTGGTGATTTCCTAGTCAATGGTGGATCGCGTTTAATTTGTGGTGAATTCATAGAGTATCATGGATGCTTGATACTCTACCCAACCATTTAGGAACAAACATCACTGATTTCGCTAACAAGTTTTAGGATTCAACACCTAAGGCACATGAACTGGGTTAGGGTTGGGGGTGGTTTCTATTTTTTTTCCCCCTTACATTGTGAATTGGTTGGCTACGGGATCTTGTGGTTTTTGTCCGTTTTGATTTTCAACAGGAAGAAGGAAAAAAAAAAAAGGGAATCCTTTTGTGTGTCTAATTGATTATTATATTGATTGCAGAATTGATTGGCATAAAGCAAATTTGTACTGGTTTAATTGAATTATACGTAGATTTTGTTCCCTAGGAATGGCACTGTATAGTTACCAAAAAGCATGACATCTAGCAAATTTGTACTGGTTTAATTGAATAAAATGAACAATTCATAATCTCTGTCATGTTATGTTATCAATCCTAAGCAAATTCTTTTCCATTTTGAGGGCTAAATCTCCTCTAGACCTTATGCAAGTGCCAAACAACATTTCAAGTGTGAAGCATTAGCACTTTATCTGAATCACTAGATCTTTAGCATTGTCAAATTAATTTTTTATTTGAAATGTTACTGCAATAGTCGTTTGACCATAAGATGTGAAATAAAACCCTGTTTATAGATGAGGGCTTATTAGGGTTATATTTTAAGCCTGGCTAAGAAAGATTTATACAAGTCAACTAAAATTTGGGATATACGTAGATCATGGGATATACGTAGATTTTGTTCCCTAGGAATGGCACTGTATAGTTACCAAAAAGCATGACATTTTGCATTTCAACTGCAGGAAACTTTCACCAGAGTAAATGTTCCCAAAGAGTGGCTGCGATGATTTTTTCCACGGCGAAGCATGGCTGGTATTAAGGGCGATACATGTTAGATTAGCACAATGTAAGAATGGAGTTAATAATAAAGACTTCCTTTAGGAAAAACTAAACCTAGGTGTTGGTCAGCATGCAAACGGAAGGCTGTATATCACAAGACTTTAATCCTAAAGTATCAAAATTGATAAGACCTAAAGCACATTCCTACTACATCAAGTGTTTTGGGAAGGGTGAGATTAGAAATCAGAAAGAAAATTCATTTTACTTTTTTGGTTAGGTAAAATTCATTTTACCTATAGTTAAAAAAGATTGAAATTTTGAAAGTACAGGTTTTCTTTTGATTTGTATCATTATCGTTGTCATGATGATTGCACCAGCATGTGACTGTCATTACATTAGATAGCAGGATTGGCTGTGGTACGCCATCACTGCCGCCACTCCATCACCATCATGATTTCATCAACTATTGGAATAGTTTCTATTTACACCTTGAGATTCATTAAATTATTGTGAACTATAGCAGTTCAATGTCAACTTAATGTTTAACTGTGAATTGCCTCTATTTATTTCTTCATTTTATTGATTACTATTATTAGTTTTTTTTTTTGATTTTTTCTTTTCATGTAGACATGGCGTAAAACAGTTGACAGGGCTTCAAAGGTCTTCTTGGAGATGCATTACAATTGGCACAAGCGCTTGACAAATGATATTGCTTAGACCATGCTATTTCACACTGGAAATTTTTATCAGACCTGGCGTGTTGGGAAGGAAGGTTTGGCCCTTGTGCACTACTAGCGTCTAACTTATATTTACTTATTCTTGTATATGTATTTTATCACCACAGCAAAATAATTGTTGTATTTTGTGTCATACAAATTAAGTTTTTTGCCCTCAAAGTTGTCTTTTATGGAGCTGTGTGATTTAAATTGGTAATCCAATTTTCCCATTATGATTTATAAAATTCAGTAAACATTTTGAAGTGGAAATTTTTATTTGACCTGGCGTGTGGTGGAAGGAAAGCTTGGTCCTTGTGCGCTTCTAGCATCCAACTTATATTTACTATTCTTGTATAGGTATTTGTATCACCACAACGAAATAATTGTTGTATTTTGTGTCATACAAATTAAGTTTTTTGCCCTCAAAGTTGTCTTTTATGGAGCTGTGTGATTTAAATTGGTAATCCAATTTTCCCATTATGATTTATAAAATTCAGTAAACATTTTGAAGTGGAAATTTTTATTTGACCTGGCGTGTGGTGGAAGGAAAGCTTGGTCCTTGTGCGCTTCTAGCATCCAACTTATATTTACTATTCTTGTATAGGTATTTGTATCACCACAACGAAATAATTGTTGTATTTTGTGTCATACAAATTAAGTTTTTTGCCCTCAAAGTTGTCTTTTATGGAGCTGTGTGATTTAAATTGGTAATCCAATTTTCCCATTATGATTTATAAAATTCAGTAAACATTTTGAAGTGGAAATTTTTATTTGACCTGGCGTGTGGTGGAAGGAAAGCTTGGTCCTTGTGCGCTTCTAGCATCCAACTTATATTTACTATTCTTGTATAGGTATTTGTATCACCACAACGAAATAATTGTTGTATTTTGTGTCATACAAATTAAGTTTTTTGCCCTCAAAGTTGTCTTTTATGGAGCTGTGTGATTTAAATTGGTAATCCAATTTTCCCATTATGATTTATAAAATTCAGTAAACATTTTGAAGTGGAAATTTTTATTTGACCTGGCGTGTGGTGGAAGGAAAGCTTGGTCCTTGTGCGCTTCTAGCATCCAACTTATATTTACTATTCTTGTATAGGTATTTGTATCACCACAACGAAATAATTGTTGTATTTTGTGTCATATAAATTAAGTTCTGCCCTCAAAGTTGTCTTTTAAAGAATTTAAGTAAAACCTTTTATTTTGAAACCTATAACACTTTTAAAGAGTTTTTAAAAAAATTGTCAAATCATTAGGTCTGACTGACTTGACCAATGTAATATTGAACCATATTTATTTCACTAAAATGGCAATGGATAATTTATGTGTGTAAGTCACAAAATATTTAGAATAAGTAATATGACATTTTTTGGAGGGAAAAAAAATGAGAAAAAGACAAAGTATGTGTTGGATCTAATTGGATCCAATTAAAAACTCTTAGATCACCAAAATAAAAACAAATCAAGTATAAATATTAGATATTTTTGTACCAAACACTTAGAAATAGTTTTGTGTTGTTTTCATTTAAAAATAAGTAAAAATACATTGGACACAATAGTTTTAAGAATTCCATCATAAAATCGTGAATCATGTGATTCACGTATAGATTCATATCCATTACTGATAAGTTGTGAATCAAATCGTGAATTGAATCATAAAATGTAAAGATTCTAATAACAGACGTCCCCAAATGTCGGTGTCTCATACGTATCCAACATAGCTACACCACTTATTTTGAAGTGTTACTTCATTGGGTGGGAGCTCACTTCTTTTGGATTTGGTGAGCAATTGGCTTTGGGTTCTAGTCTCCATGAGAGCAACTAGTGACAGAGCAAGAATTTTTGCTTAGGCGGGATATTACGACAAAATATTGGTATTGGGTCATATTGATATAGTTTGGTTCAGTTTCATAAAAAATAGGGTAATATTATACAAACTATCAGCCAACAAGAGTACGAAAATAAAAATACAAATTACAAATAACATAAATATAATAAACAAGATGTTTTCTTAGATTTCCTCATGAAGCAAATAAAGAATCAATATATATTTGTGTTCAAGTCAATGGTGTCTCAAGTTCATTGAAAGAACAATGGGGCACAATTTTAACTTAATAATTCAAACAACTAATCCATTGTTTAACAAAATCTCAATAATTTTAACATCACAAATGATCTTATTAATAACATAAAAGTCATATTTTATAGGGATAATTGCAGAAAAATAGTATCAACTCAAAATAATTGCAAAATGATGAAAGTACAAGATAGACTGGTGCAATTTAATGCATAAATTGCTTGTACTTCCATTATATTGCGATCATTTTGTGTTAACACCATTTTCCTACAATTGACCATATTTTATTTAAGCATACAACAAAAAATTAAATAGATAAATTGTAAGGATTTGTTGAAAAAGATAAAAGAAATAGGCTAAAATTTTAACAAATTTAAAGGATATATATAATTTTAGAGGGGGAAAATTGAAAGATATTTTTAAAATTAAAACCTTTTAAGTGTAATTTTCAATAAGTTGAGGGGCATGTGCCTCTCTTAGGCATTAAATGGCTCCGTCCCCATGGGGCACCATGGTTCCCATCCACCTCTACTCGCTAGGAAGGACCTTGGTATATAGAGCTAGGATCAAGCCATGAGTTACACTCATCTTGAGGGAGTGTGTTTGCGGTTCCCCCATATGTTGTAACCTCATTTTTCTAGGCCCATCTAAGCCCCTCCTTTTTGGCTCTCTAGCAAGTAAAGGGCTCCTTTGGTCGCCTATGTAGGATTGTTACAGTTTGTTGCCCCCTCTTTCTTCACTTCCCTTTTTTTATCAAGGAAAAAACCTCCACTAGTAAAAGAATGTAAGTACAACTTATCAAGATCTAGATGCACAGATCTTACCTACACAATACCTAGATGCTATCCATACCAACTAATCTCCAATACTTGTACCTTCAAGCACACGTCTTTACTAGCCATGTCAACCACACATACACAATGCTCCAAGAACACAATCAATCTACATGCTACCACGCAATCATAATCAAGCATTCAACCTTCTAGATCCACAGAGTCTTCTATGTGCTACCCCTAGAAATGATTGTACAACCTAAATATATATATATATATATATATGAATGCAGAGCAAACAAAGGAAACAATTACACTCCCTCACTCAAACGATTTAGAAGATCAACTCAATCTTTGCAAACCCTTCTCTTAAGCCTATGAAAAATAAAATAAGCAGGAGTGTAACCCAAGCAACGATGTATAAGTCTTAATATATAGTAATCGAAAATCCTAAGACACTAAGAAGTTACATTTTCAAAGAAATCAGTTCCTAACGCATAATATTATGCATATATCAAGTGTTTACATGATTACCTTTGTGGACCCTCCCCGAGGTGTTTGGGGCATTTCCCGGTCCTTCTCGTGACTGTTACACGCTTTTGGCCCCCCGGTGTCGTATTTCCAAGGTTAAGTGTGGAAAAAGTGTCTCTATCCAACTTAGTTTTCAAACCGAGAGTCCCGTGCTAGTTCCGTAAGTTTTCACAGCTCGCGTTGGTCACTCCTGAGGTGTTTGAGGTGTTCCCGACCCTCCTTGCGACTGCTACATGATATTGGCCCCCCGATGGCCTACTTCCAAGCTTAAGTGTTAGAAAAGTGTATTTTCCGACCTCGTTTTCAAATCGGGAGTCCCGCGCCTGTTCGTTAACTTTTCACAGCTCAATTTGGTCCCTCCTGAGATGTTCGAGGTGTTCCCCGGGCCTTCTCGTGATTGTTACATGATTTCGGCCCGCCGAGCAATATTCTCAGGCTTAAGTGTGAAAAAAGTACCTTTTCCGACCTAGTTTTAAAACCGGAAGTCCCGCGCTAGTTCTGTAAGTTCCCACAGCTTGCATTGGTGTCTCCCGAGGTGTTGGAATTGTTCCACGGGCCTTCTCGGGGGACTGTTACAGGATTTTGGGGTGCCCACGATGGCCTATTTTCAAACTTAAGTGTTTAGGAAGTGAATATTTTGACTTAGTTTTCGAACCGGGAGTCCTATGCGAGTTCCGTAAGCTTCTATAGCTTACGTTGGTCATTCCCTAGGTGTTTGAGGTGTTCCCCGGACCTTCTCTTGACTGTCACACGATTTTGGCCCCCCGATGGACTATTTTCAAGCTAAGGTGCGAGAAAAGTGTCGTTTCGGACTTAGTTTTCAAACCGGGAGTCCCGTGCTCGTTCCGTAAGTCTTCACAACTTACATTGGTCCCTCCCGGGGTGTTTGACGTGTTCCCCGGGCCTTCTCGTGACAGTTACATGATTTTGGCCCCCGATGGCTTATTTTCGAGCTTAAGTTTGAAAAAAGTGCATTTTTTGATTTAGTTCTCAGACCGAGAGTCCCGTGCTAGTTCCGTAAGTCTCCGCAACTTACCTTGGACCCTCCCGAGGTGTTTGGGGCATTTTCTGGTCCTTCTCGTGACTGTTACACGATTTTAGCCCCCCCGGTGTCCTATTTCCAAGCTTAAGTTTGGAAAAAGTGTCTCTTTCCAACTTAGTTTTCAAACCGGGAGTCCCGTGCTAGTTCCGTAAGTTTTCACAGCTCGCGTTGGTCACACCCGAGGAGTTTGAGGTGTTCCCGGCCCTCCTTACGACTGTTACATGATTTTGGCCCCTCGATGGCCTACTTCCAAGCTTAAGCGTTAGAAAAGTGTATTTTCTGACCTAGTTTTCAAATCGAGAGTCCCGCGCCTGTTCTTTAAGTTTTCACAACTCAAATTGGTCCCTCCTGAGATGTTCGAGGTGTTTCCCGACCTTCTCGTGATTGTTACACGATTTCGGCCCGCCGAGCCCTATTGTCAAGCTTAAGTGTGAAAAAAGTACCTTTTCCGACCTAGTTTTAAAACCGGAAGTCCCGCGCTAGTTCTGTAAGTTTCCACAACTTGCATTGGTGTCTCCCGAGGTGTTGGAGGCCTTCTCGGGACTGTTACAGGATTTTGGGGGGCCCCCGATGGCCTGCTTTCAAACTTAAGTGTTTAGGAAGTGCATCTCTTGACTTAGTTTTCAGACTAGGAGTCCCATGCGAGTTCCGTAAATTTCCACAGCTCACGTTGGTCATTCCCTAGGTGTTCGAGGTGTTCCCCAGACCTTCTCTTGACTGTCACACGATTTTTGCCCCCGGATAGACTATTTTCACGCTTAGGTACGAGAAAAGTGCCGTTTTGGACTTAGTTTTCAATCCGGGAGTCCCGTGCTAATTCCGTAAGTTTTCACAACTTACATTGGTCCCTCCCGGGGTGTTTCACGTGTTATCCGGGCCTTCTTGTGACTGTTACACGATTTTGGCCCCCGACGGTTTATTTTCGAGCTTAAGTTTGAAAAAAGTGCATTTTTTGATTTAGTTCTCAGATCGAGAGTCCCGTGCTAGTTCCGTAAGTCTCCGCAACTTACCTTGGACCCTCCCCGAGGTGTTTGGGGCATTTCCCGGTCTTTCTCGTGACTGTTACATGGTTTTAGCCGCCCTGGTGTCCTATTTCCAAGCTTAAGTTTGGAAAAAGTGTCTCTTTCCAACTTAGTTTTCAAACCGGGAGTCCCGTGCTAGTTCCTTAAGTTTTCACAGCTCGCGTTGGTCACACCCGAGGTGTTTGAGGTCTTCCCGGCCCTCCTTGCGACTGTTACATGATTTTGGCCCCCCGATGGCCTACTTCCAAGCTTAAGCGTTATAAAAGTGTATTTTCTGACCTAGTTTTCAAATCGAGAGTCCCGCACCTGTTCTTTAAGTTTTCACAACTCAAATTGGTCCCTCCTGAGATGTTCGAGGTGTTTCCCGGGCCTTCTAGTGATTCTTACACGATTTCGGACCGCCGAGCCCTATTCTCAAGCTTAAGTGTGAAAAAAGTACCTTTTCCGACCTAGTTTTCAAACCGGAAGTCCCGCGCTAATTCCGTAAGTTTCCACAACTTGCATTGGTGTCTCCCGAGATGTTGGAGGTGTTCCACGGGCCTTCTCGGGACTGTTACAGGATTTTGGGGGGCCCCCGATGGCCTGTTTTCAAACTTAAGTGTTTAGGAAGTGCATCTCTTGACTTAGTGTTCAGACCGGGAGTCCCATGCGAGTTCCGTAATTTTCCACAACTCACGTTGGTCATTCCCTAGGTGTTGGAGGTGTTCCCCGGACCTTCTCTTGACTGT